CCACGTGCCCCCTGCCCTGCCCAGGCCGCGCGGCCGGGCACCTGCTGCCCCCTCCTCAGGCCTGGCCGGACCCTGCCTCGGTGCCCAAGAGCCCCGCGCTCCCAGCCGCCCTGGCTGCCCGGGGGGTCGGCATCGCAGCGATCCTGCCGGCTGCCCCTGCACCCCCCCGGCTCCCCTGAGCCGGGGCAGCGTGGACTCCGTCACCCCCAGCCGGTGGCGGTTCAGTGTGGCCGAGGAAACTGAGTCGTGCCCCATTTTCCACAGGACAGGACAGGGCAGGACAGGTGCCCCCCGGCCCTTCAGTCGGAAGTGGAGCAGGGCCTCCCCACCCCCAAGTCGGGCATCGCAGCCGCGCTCCCCGCGTGCACGCACCGTCCGTGGCCGTGGGCCATGTGGTGCCCGTGGGGGTGCCGTGACGCTGCGTGTTCTGGGTGCAGCCCGGCAGCCACTGCAACCCCCTGGCCCGCTGTGGGGGGGGGACACGCTGGCAGCTGCAGCCCTGGCCCATCTGAACCAGACTCGGCTCCGGCCCCATCCATGTGCCGCAGCCTTGGCCCCACCAGACCCGAGGGGAGGGGGCTCCTGGAAGTGGCAGTGTAGCCAGAGCAGGGAAACTGAGGCATGGCTCCCAAGTGAATGCTCCAGTCCCCCCTGTCACGGGGCAGGGATCCGGGACAGCTGGGCTCTCCGTCGGTGACAGGTGAGTGCAATGCAGCGTCCCCTGCAGCCGCGGCTGCCAGCACAGACGGGCTCTGGGGCGCGTGCTGGGGCTCAGCGCGGCGCAGGATGCTCTCCCTGGCTCTGCTTCGGCACCAGGACTCCAGACTCGGCCCGTGGTCGTGGCACGCAGCCCGGGGGCTGCCGGTCTGGCCCGTGGGCAGCTCCTCCAGCCCCTGGGGCACAGCAGGTGCCCACACTGCCGGACTGCATCCCTGCCCCCTCCTGGGGCCCTGACCGGTGCAACACGTTTGCAGCTGCAGCCACACATGGGGGGCTGGCCTGGTGATGCTGGAACGGCCCCACCATGTGCCTTGCCTCGGGACCGGGCCAGGCCACGCTGCGCCATCACCCAGGCTGCAGCAGGGCTGAGCAGGGGCCGGCCGTGGCCTCCCATGCAGTGGTGCAGCAGTGCGGGCCAGCACCCAGGGACTCCCGGCCGCGTGCTGCAGCCCCTGCGCGGGAGCGAGCCTGTGGCAGGGGCTGGAAGGAGAAGGGGGAGCGAAGCTGGCACGCGGCGCGTTGTCACGGGCTGTCGCAGTCCCTGAGCCGCCCGGGCTGGGGGCGCTGCAAGGCCCAGGGGGGGCTGCAGCGCCGGGCCTGCTCCATGCTTAGCCTCCCGGGGAGGGGGCGCCTCCTGCGCAGGGTGCAGGGACCCTCACGTGACCCGGCCAGGCATGGGCACCGCCGGTGCTGTCCTGTGTGTCCCCGTCCCTGTACCGGGGGTAGGGGAGGGACGTGGCCCCTTGCTGCGAGATGCCCAGCACTGTCCTGGGCGCAGATCCCAGCAGGTGCCTGCAGTTGCTGCGTGCAGATGGACACGGCAGGCGCTTGCCCTGGGGCAGCAGCAGTGCCTCCAGGCCTGGCAGGACTCGGCTGCTGCGTGGCTACGTCTGCGGGCGGCAGGGCCGTAGCTGCGGCCGTGGGCCTGGCTGGAGGGGCCGAGGCAGAAGGGGCCCCTCTGTCTCCTCTGTCTGCCCTTTGCCTCGGCAGGCGTGAGCCCGTCCAGCCCAGGGTGGTGGGCACGCTCGGCGGGTGCCAGCAGCGCATGCTGTGAGCCCCCTGCCCTGGCACAGGCGGCTTTGCCAACATAACCCCGTCTGCTGGGCTTTCCCCAGCCTGGCGCTGCTCTTGCTGCTGGTTCACGGCCACGCCGGGCACTGTGGTCCTGCACATGTGGCCCCAGGCCCAACCCAGCTGTGCCGCTGGCGCGCGCCAGCCCCTGCTGAGCTCCGGCGCTCTGCTCTTCCACCAGCCTCGCCATCCTGCCACGGCCGGGACCGCTCTTGTCATCTCCCCGCTGTCCCCCAGCCCCGCTCCGTCCTCTGACCGTCCCGTGGCACTGGCACCTCCAGACCTCTGGGGCTGGGGTCTTCTCCCTGCCCATCCCTATCAGCACTGGGGGGTCCTGGGCGCTCCGAGCAGAGCATCTAGTCCAAACCCTGCCTCAGGCAGGATCGGCCTTGTCCAAACCAGCTCAGACAACCATCGCCTGAACCCTGCACGAGACTGCCGGCGTCTCCAGCACAGCACCAGGGAACGTCGCGCCTGCACCTGCTGCAAGGGAAGCAGGGGGGCCGCAGCGGCCAAACCCCCCCGACGCATGGAGGCAGCCAGCACATTGGCACCCGCGTGCACAGCCCTGCCCACGCCCACGCGTGCTCACACCTGGTGCCGGCCTGCACCGGCTGCGGAGGGAGGCTGCAGGCAGGGCCCCGGCTCCCTGCTCTGGGACCCGGCTGCTGGGCGCAGCACCAGACGGCCTCGCCCTGCATCCCCGCTCGAGGCCCACGGCTGCGCCTGCCCGCCCCGCTCGCCCTGTCCTCACCCGGCCCCCCCCAAGCACAAAACACGCTGCTGGACAACGTGGCCGGTGGCACAAAACGGGGCCAACATGTGCCCGGTGCGAGCCGGGAGGATCCACCCCCCGGGCAGTGGGGCACGGCCGGGCTCGCCGGCACGGCTAGGTTTCGGGCAGCTTCTCTCCTGAGCTAAGCCATGGGCAGCCCAGGCGGCAGGGCCGTGGTGGGCCGCAGGGGTCCCCGGGCCACGCGCTGGTGACAGGCACAGCCAGCTTGGGCTGACTCGTTAGCAGAGCCCCACGGTGGAGCACGGGATCTGGGTGACGGATGGTGCCGCCTTCCTGCGCGCTCGGGGACCCTGGCGGGAGGCCTCGCAGCAGCTGGGCCCCACGCGGCTGCGCTGCAGGGCTGGGGGGGCTGAGCTGCAACGGGGCACGGCAGGATCTCAGCATGGGGGTGCTTCCCCCTCGCCCCCGGGGTGCTGCCCCCAGCGGGCTCCGCAGGGTGCGTGGGTGTGGGCGGGACACCAGGCCCGAGCGCTGCAGCGGGGCCTCTGGGCAGTGGCTCCGTCCCTGCCCCTGCTCGGGGGCTGTTGCTGGGAGCAGAGACAAGCCCCACATGCTCCTGCCCAGCCACCCCCAACCCCGGGCTGGAGCTGCAACTTGGGAGGCAAACCGGTGGGGGGGGCAGGCTGGGCCTGGGCCTGGGCCTGGGCCTGGGCCGGGTGCAGCATGCAGGGCACGGGGTGATGGCCGAGGTGCACGTGACACTGGCTGGTGCCCAGGGGCGTCCATGGGAGAGGGTCTGGCCTCTTGGCTTCTCCCTCCCTCCCACAGACGCTTGCTGCTGCGGCAGAAGCACATGTGGTCCTGCTCCTGCGCCTGCTGGTGGCAGCTGGGGCCAGATGTTCATGCGCACAGGCACATGCACACACATGCGCGTGCAAACCAGCAAGGCCCCGGCAGCTGCACAGGGCCCCAAGGGAAGTAGTGCCGAGCGCCCTCAGGCCGTGTCCCCAGCCACAGCCAGGCAGAGCCACGCGGGGCACTGGCCGCCGGCCTGCAGCGGGCAGAGCGGGAATGCGGGACCTGCCCAGGCCGTGCCACAGGCCAGCCGGAGCAGACACCCTCTGGACCGCAGTGGCAGGACTCTGCCCGACAGGTCCAGGAGAGAAAAGCCTTTCAACACCACCACCCTCCCCGCACGCATGCACAAGTACACGCACATGCGCATGCACGTGTACACGCAGGCCATGCGTGCAGCCAGCTCACAGGCGGCGGCCTGGGATGGCCCTGGGGGATCCAGGCTGCAGAGGAGGCTGCGTTTGCTCCCTTGGGGGAACGTGCAGGCTCCCACCAGCGCCTCCGGCCTCTTGCTCCAGCGCTGCCAGGGCTGGGCAGGCCGGGCATGGCAGGGCCGGGGGGACTCCTCCTCTGAGGCGAAAGCCGGGCTGCAGTCGTGGCCTCTGCCCTGGTTGCCTACATCCCCCAGGGTGTATGGGGCAGTGCGGACAGCCAGCCAGAGGCACTGCCGGTCCCTGCACGGGTGTGGGGCAGCTGGCTCAGGAGACACAGGCAGTTTGGGGTCGTGCCCCGCACTGCCCCCCAGGCTCCCGCTCCTTCTCAGACCTCTTCCCCGTCCTTGCAGCCAGGACCGCCACGGCTGCGGTCCCCACCCCATGAGCACGCACGGCGCGGCCCCCTCTGCAGCGGGCGCTGCCTTCGCATGCACCAAGCTGCCGGCTGACCCATCCTCGGGGCCCTGCCGCCCGGTGCCTCAGCACCCAGGGAGCCGCGTGGCTCCCAAACACGAGGCTGGCCTGGGACTTTTGCACCCGCCGGGTCCCTGCCCGCACGGCGCGGCCCTCCTGGGGCTGGGGCAGCTCAGAGCCGCGCTGCACAGGGAGGAGAGGAGGGAGGGAAGAAGCCGGTCTCCTTTCCATAGAAAATAATTTATTGAAGTCAAGACGATCCATGGACAGGGCACGGACGCGGTTGGCCGCAGCGGCACGGTTCGAACCGCGCAGGGACGCAGCCGCGTGGGCCTGTGGCGGGGTGGGGGGCATGCGGAGCGTGGGGGCCTGGGGACCCCTGAGACCAGGCACTGCGTGCGGGCCTGGGTGGGCGCCGAGTCCGGCGCGGGCCAGGGGCAGCCCAGGGCTCTCCCAGGCGGACGGACGGACACTCACCATTCCATATGTACAGGCTTTACACTGAATAAATAGAGGACATTTACAGTGAAGGGCGGGCGCTGGTGGCTCCTGCAGCCCCTCCCCGGGTCTGCACGGGGTCCATGCCCCCTGCCCCTTGCTGCGGGGCCGGCCCCGAGCTCCGCTAGCCCCCGGCCCGGCGCAGTCCT